TGGAAATAATATACTTTTTAAATTCAGCAAGCAAAGTGAATATATAGATAATATATAGTACACTGCTAAATGTATTGATAAGCACTATAAGATTTAACGTACATTTTTATGGAAACTTTTATATCATGTATTTAAATATTTTCTTAATCTTATTTGTAAAAATACTCTTAAAGTAGCATTTTCACTTCAATTGGCTGCATTGTATACTGTATTTTTAATAATAATAATATGTTTATTTTAAATAGCGCCTTATAGAGTTCTCAAGGTCGCTTTACAGTTAAGTACAGATAAAAATCAAAACAATAAAAATAAATTGAGACATAGAAACATGATAGAAACAATAAAAATAAATTGAGATAGTGGTACATAAACAGAGAAATCAATGGAAACGAGTAGCGAAAAGATGAGTTTTATGGTGAGTTTTGAAATCGTGCAATGATGAGAGGTCTATCTATCTATTATTATATTAAATACAGTTCCAGAAAAGTTCATACGTTTTTTGAAATCTCAAGCTGTCCACAGACCTCGGACCAGCGCAATCAGCAAAGTCTGAAATAAAGTAGCGTAAGCTAAAACAAATAAACTAAAATAAACAGCATACAATAGACAGACTCGTGCATGAGAAGTGTACAAACACACCCACAGAAGTTTATTTTACTCGAACATGACCCCACCCACCAAAACACACAACCCGATGCATGAACAGGCTTTAACATATACACACACATTCACATATATTTCCAGTAGTTCAAAGCGCAGTAAGCATGCAGCACACAAGCATGCATACAGTACATGCATTCACTTGAGATTGTGTTTGGTGGCCGCATCTCATTTTGTGTTTGTTTGTGCTGTCTAGTGAAAGTGGGTCAGCGTGTGAGTTTGGCATGCACTGGAATTAACCAATCGGAAGCTCGCTTAGACAATCAAGAGCCAATCATGTGGCTTTTTTTCTGGAGCCCTGGATAATAAAGATGGCTCCGTGTTGAGTGAGTAATGACGGTGATTATTCATAACTGGCAACTGAGAAGGAGACGTGTGGTTGACTGCAAGACAAAAAGAAAGTCTTAAATTCCCTGGAATCCCTTTATATGGTTTTGTTGTCGGAGAGCGATTACTTGTTGAAGCGGTCTGGTGGGAATTGTATGAAATATTGTTATTCAACACTTCATTTTGTCCCATGTATACAGTATATGTTACCCCTTTCCTCTGCTGTAGTTTACCTATTGTGTCAAATGACCATGTTACACAGAGTTGATTGTGTGTGCACACCTGTGCTAGTGTGTGTGGAGTGGGTGCGTCTGGATGGTCTTACAGTGTTGTGTTAGTGAGTCTGAGAATAGACGGTCCACAACCACACACGTGCACACACACACACACACACGGTCACACAGAGCTCTCTTTCATTTCACCCAGAGAGTAAAATGTCTCCATTACACGTTAATCTGCTCATTAAAGCCTCGATCTCTCTTTCAGTGCTGGCCTTTCTCTTGTATGAAAGGCTCTGCATGTGTGTGTGTGTGTGTGTTCATGTGTGTGTTCTCTTGGTAATTCACTTGAAGTGATATGGTGAGTGCCTGTCAACTGCTGTTTTAAGACACATCTGAATCATGCCCAACACAGAGACATGGAAAAAACTCGATGGCAGTGAACGCTCATAAAACTAAATAAAATACCCAGACAGCAAACTGACATTGAATCAACGTGGAAACGACGTCTCTCATGACATTGAAACAACGTTGATTTTGCTCATCGAATTAACGTTGAACCAACGTCAGACGCGGCATTCTTCAAAGCTAAATGAAAATCGAAAATTGGTTTGCTTTCATAACGTTGAAACTATGCGTTGATTTCAAGTTGATTTTCCGTTAGTTTTGAACGAATGTCCGCGTCTGACGTTGGTTTAACGTTAATTCGATGAGCAAAACAATGTCAGATCAACGTTGTTTCAATGTCATATTTCCACGTTGATTCAATGTCAGTTTGCTATCTGGGTAAACACTTGAGTTTGACAAGTTTCTAGAGAAAATGTGAATTTTGCTTCTTGCTATGCTACTGTCCACCACAATTCAACCCCTATTCTCTTAACGCCGATCAAATCATTAATGCAAAGATGTTGTGGAGGTTGTTACGTCCGATCCCAGTCTCTAGTCACCCGGTCTCTAGATCTTGCAACAGCCCAAAATGCCCAAGCAATCACTTAGCATTATGCTAAAACTGATTAGCAACCCAGACAGCAAACTGACATTGAATCAACGTGGAAACGACGTCTCTCATGACATTGAAACTACGTTGATTTTGCTCATCGAATTAACGTTGAACCAACGTCAGACGCGGCATTCTTCAAAGCTAAATGAAAATCGAAAATTGGTTTGCTTTCATAACGTTGAAACAACGCGTTGATTTCAAGTTGATTTTCCGTTAATTTTGAAAGAATGACGCGTCTGACGTTGGTTCAACGTTAATTCGATGAGCAAAACAATGTCAGATCAACGTTGTTTCGATGTCATATTTCCACGTTGATTCAATGTCAGTTTGCTATCTGGGTGTCAACTGCTGTTTTAAGACACATCTGAATCATGCCCAACACAGAGACATGGAAAAAACTCTATGGCAGTGAACGCTCATAAAAGTTTTTCACTTTTCTAAAAATAACAAAATCTCGGCAAAATGCACAATTTGTGTATTTTTACAGAAGGAGTATTTCCTTCAGAAAGAATTATTTGGTAACACTTTACAATACGTGTGCACTAATAAGCATTAATTCATGCTTAACTAATGCACAGAAAATACTGAATTAATGTGTAACTAATGATTATTTAAGCTATTCGTTATTGATTACCACATTAGGAACTAATTAAGAGTCTGTAAGGTTAATGTATTAGTTCATACATGAATTGTTATTAATTAAATATGTAATTGTGGATTAATTCCATAATAACTCATTTTTTTAACTAATAGCGTTAATTAATATGTTAATTACCAGAATGAGCCAAAGCCTTGTATTTCAAATTCCAGGTAATATGACAGTTAAACTAATATGCATTAATACTAATTATTAATAATTATTAATTATTAATTAATCATTAATGATTAATTACTTCATTGTTAGTGCAAATTACTACAATTACTAAATGACTAGTTAATAATGATGTGCCTCATCAAGTAAAGTCATAACATAATGATACCTTTGCAAATCATTAGCTAATGATAAAAGCAGACAACTGGAAGTTGAAGTGCATAGCTTTGACTAATTGTGGTAATTAACACATTAATTTACACTATTAGTTAAGAAAATATGTTATTAAGGAATTAATACACAATGACACATTTAATTAATAGCAATTCATGTATTACTTAATCTATTAATCATATTGACTCTTTATTAGTTGCTGATGCAGTAATCATCAATTAATGGTTTAGTTCTTCATTAGTTATACATTAACTCATGATTATCTGTGCATTAGTTAAGGATGAATTAAGGCACATTAGTGCACCCGTATTGTAAAGTGTTACCGATTATTTTCTTCAGAAAGGCCGTTGGTTAGCTTAACTTTTTTGACCCTGCCTCTTAAAAGAATCGGAATCGAGAATCGTTAGGAACCGGAATCGAAACAAGGAATCGGAATCGGAATCAGAATCGTTCAAATTCAAACGATACCCAACCCTAGCTAAGATGTTGTGGAGGTTGTTACGTCCGATCCCAGTCTCTAGTCACCCGGTCTCTAGATCTTGCAACAGCCCAAAATGCCCAAGCAATCACCTAGCATTATGCTAAAACTGATTAGCAAGCACAAAGTGTCCACTCTGGCGTGTTACATTTCAGTGTGAAATAAAAGGTTAGCTTTCTCCTCATGTTGTAAGAGCACTGCTGTCACAAGAACAAACCCAAAATGGTTGAGTGTGTGTATTACCACAAAGAAATGCTGTGGGTTTTTCTCAGGATGTTATTGTGTAAGTTCCTTCTTGAGATCTAACTCTGTGGGAATCACATATGTAATCACAGTGAAGGGGTTTGGGGGTTGTAGTTTTTGTGTGTTTTTAGAATGAATGACATTGTCTGATTTGTGACATTACTTTTTATGCAATGCGACAGTGAATGTTGCTAGAAGTTGTAGTGATGCTTTCCCAGAGAGAATGTGAAATGTGCTTGATGATTATATAATTTAAACATTTAAAGGGGTAACTAAACCCCTGGTCAGAGCCTGACTCCACCCACTGGCAATATTTTAAAATGCCGAAAAAGTGGGATGACCCCAGCGGAGATAGACGGTACGAAATAGATGCTAAAACACTCTATCCTGATCGTTTTTAATACTCGCAATTCCAACTCCTGACTCGCTACAGTGGTTTTGACGACACAAGATGGTTTTTATACTGCCAAGGGCGTAGCTCGCGTGGTGAGCTGAAACCTGCGTACGTCATGCAACATTCAATAGGAAAATTCAACTGCAGTAGCCACCGTTCAACCTGAAGAGGGCAGCACTAAAACGTTTTTACACCATATATTGTAGAAATAAAACACTTTATAGACAAATGTCAAAAAAGTTACTCGAATCAATGACTGGAATTAATAAAGATCCATTCTTACAGATCATTAACTAAAAAAAGTTGGTTTAGTGTTTAGTTACTCTTTAAACATAATTCAAATTAATGTTGCACACTTAAAGAAATTTGCGATAAGGTTCATTAGTTAATATTAGTTGATAACATGATAACAGCAATAGATTTGTTACAGTATTTATTAATCTTTGTTAATGTTACAGTTAGTGTATAGTGCATTGACTAATGTTAAAAAATACAATCTTTGATTTTAATATTGTTAATAAATGTTAAAAATGAATATTAGCAAGATTACTAAATACTAAAGAAGTATTGTTCATTCTTAGTTCGTGTTAATTAATTAATGAAGTGTTACTGAATTATCGTATCTCATTCTTTAACAATATATGGCAAATTTTCCTTCAATATCGTCTAACCACTTTTGGCTCTTTGTCTTTCAGAAGATTATCCATTCTCCGCTGATGTTTTACCGCCACTCCCGGAGGTCCCTGTCGGAGGGCCGGTCCTGAGCCAGGCGCGAGGTCCCATCAGAAACTCCGCCCCGAGACATTGCTCCTCCCGCAGCATGGACTCCACGCACTGCAACGACCGGCCGGTGAGCTACGGCTCCACGTCTTCGTCCGCCTCCTCCCGGGACAGTCACTGCTCGCTGGGGGGGCGGCCCGTATTAGGCTCCACCCCTGAGCGGGATCACGATTCTGGAGCCATCCGATTGGAGCTGGTGCCTGCCCGACAGCTGGAGGAGGAGGAGTCGGGAAGACGGACACCTACAACCACCAATCAGGGGGACGCAGAGATTCAGTCACCAGAAGGACGTAAAGTCCAGTATGTGGACCGAGTGGTGGAGGAAATCCTTGAAACGGAAAAAACCTACGTCCAGGACCTTCGCAGTATAGTCCAGGTATGAAAGACACAAAGCATGTGCGGTCTTCCTTAGCATCTGAAATTGAATACTGTATAATAAGCACTACATTTGGTTTGAACCCATATGTGACCATTAAAGGTTTAATATGCAGGATTTTTTACAGTAAAATATCCAAAAAACCACTAGGCCAGTGTTATATATTTTGTTTAGTTGATTACTTACAATATCCCAAATGTTTCCAACTATTTGTAAATCGTGAGAAAATTGCGATGTTTAACCGAGGAAACGGGGCGTGTGAGCAGGGGTGAGAGTCGCCAGTCAATGATGTCATATCCGCGTTACCGCCGGGTTTGCGCTCGCACTGCGATAGTAACCATGGCGACAGACGTGGACAACTGGGTCTGTTATAACCGTTATGCGAGCTCAACAGCGTGAGCGTCTCTAGCAGGGTTTTGTTCAAATATTATGGACCATGGCAAGCAGACTTTGAGACAAAAAGAGGACTAGAACGAAGATCAACATCTTTCCAGATGCCGAGAGCTCCACGTCCGCGACTAACTTTTAAACTAAGTTTAAAAACATCAATGTATTCACTCATTCATAAAAGATCCATCAGCTTGACGACAGCATCCATAATTCACCTTTGGCTAAGCCCCGCCCCCCTTAGTTACTGTTGCTACATCTGTCAAACTTCATCTGCGCTCTGCATGGCTTATGCTGTAACAGCTCATCCTGCTGAAATGTTATCAAACTTTTATGAAGCAGCAAATAAAGTGTCCGATAGAAGTAGGCAAAAGGGGCTGCAATATGTATTCGAAGTCTACGTATATTCAAGACATACAGGTGAAACGCAAGAAACAACAAGGCATCCAAAATGGAGGCAAAAGCATAACATTACCGGTCACAGATGAACCACCGCATATCCTAATAATCGAGACGGAGGCTGGGACTAACAATATCAGGGAGCAACACTGTTCATGCAAAGCTGGGTAGGTCTCTATTCACGTCTATAATCGTTATTACAAAGCAAACGGACTACACGAGTATAACGTTGGTACAACAACCGGTATGAGAACCGAATCATAACCTAAAACATTATAAAAGGGTCTAACTAGTATAACTTCACACTCACAGTAAGGTTAGAAGCAAAAAAGATGTGCTTGTTGATCTTTGCGGGGTTTATTTGACTGAGGGCGTCCACACAGTTTAATAGAAAGACGACACTTGGATTTGACTTTGGTTTTGGGAAGGGAAAAAAACGGACACCCCCCTCCAACCTCTCTGGGAAACGCGTATCTTTGTTACAAATGCACAAGGCACAACGTTTAACCATATTTTGGATAAAACTACGACGGTAATAGCCTGCCGAGACCAAAAATATGAGACGCCTGTGTTGAAAGTCAATGGAGCGCTGTGAAAAAGTGTCGGACCTCTGTGGGAGCTCGTTCTTGGCTGCGCTGTGATTGGTCAATCTACATTCTAGGGCGTGGCTTAGCCAAAGGCGAATTCGATTACTAATGGATTATTTTGTTGCATGTAAACCTAGCGATTTAGACTGGATGACCATGAAGGCAGTGTTTTTTGAATTCCGCTTAAAGGTGCATTGCGCAAGTCTCTGAGTTTCTGCAGAACTACGCCCCCTCTGGCGACAAGCGAAACTGCAACCAGTGGTGTGCGCGCTCATGGATCACACACGCACGTTTGCACGAGCTGTTCATAACCAAAGGAGCATCAGCCGCACACATCTTTTGTTACAGTCATAATGAGGTAATAACACACTTATGTATGTGTGTGAGGGGGAAACGGGGGTAGTTGAAAACTTCTATCATCTAGCTCCATGTTGAACTGTTTTATGTGTTTACTGTATCCACTTATGACTGCATTATTATGGAAACACGTTCATGAACAAAAAAACGAAGTAAAACGAACTAAAACGAAGATCAACATCTTTCGAGATGCCGAGAGTTCCACATCCGCGACTAACTTCCACTTGACAGAGACGCGAATGTTGCATGTTACTTGAGCAAACAAGTGAGCAAATCAATGTATATAAAACTAATCAATGTTATGTAGTTCAACATGATGAAAAGTTAGAATATGATCTGTATGTTATTATGTTAATCTAGCTTAGTCTACAGCCAACAAACAACCTAACTAACAACATTGTGTGATAGTAAAACTGTTAGAGCAAGTGAAGCAGTGCTGCGTTACCTTAAGTTTAATTCCTCTAATAAACGGACCTGTGTGAGTAATTCAGCGTGTAGTTTCGTAGAATTAAATGTCCTTATTCCTTTGTATCCGTGGGACTCGCATTGCGTGTGGCGCTGGTATATGTTCAGCAATCGTGCCCTGCTTCATAGTCTTGTTTAAAAACATCAATGTATTCACTCATCCATAAAATATCCATCAGTTTGACCCCTTAATGCGGAATATACGTCATTAATAAACGCCTTTGTTATTGTAAGAGGTTAGCGACCCCTGGTGGCGAAACAATCTTGCATATTGTACCTTTAAAAAGTATGTTATACAGTAGTATGAATCTCCGTAGTATGTACAATCACAATGTGATGTGAAATTCAGACAGACTACCGTGCATTTGCCACGTTGTTATTGTTGTTATCTGACCTACCAGCGTCAGTCGCGCCGCTTCACTGCATTTACACATCCTCTCCTGTGGCCTCATGGGATAGTGAAGGGAAAGCAACTTGCGCACTTCAGAAGTAGTTTGCTACTGTTTTGTAAATACTATGAATAGAGACACTTCTTTTCTCACATAATGTTTTTCGCCTACTATATAGCAGTGGTTCCCTGGTGTACGTGGGGTAACAGCGGGGTATGCGGACAAAATGCTTTGTTTTGCCATTCATTTAATTCTACTCCACCTTAAAATAACCTTAAACCTGAGCATGCAAACAGGCAAAATGCAATGTGTCCCGAATATCAACACGACTGCAAATGTGACATTGATTTTATACAACATCTCAACAAACCAAAAGGTTTTAAGGTTAGCGACGTACATTGCAAACACAGTTTTGTCCTGTGGAACACAATAGGAGAACTTTTAAAGATCCCAAGATCATCCCAAGGCGTCATCTAACTGACCATGCGTCAACATCCGACGCACATGGCAACCTTTAGCGTCAATAGAGGGAATGCATTTGACACGTGACTTTCCCGCGTGACAACCCCCCTCAGCTTGACCGAGTGGCAAAAGATCTGCTGCGTGACTGGATTTAATAGGGGAAAACTGCGGAAATGCGACTAAATCGAACAATCCAGCGATCCATGGATATTGACATGCAGCCGGGAATCGTGTTGCCTGACATTTATGTTTGCCTGATTTCGACACCGGGGAAATAAACCAAAACCTAAACGTAAAGCAAATTTGCCTGTGAACGCTTTATATAAATATAATATAGGTAGGTCTAAATCCGGGTGATCACTTATATCAGTGTTATATATAGCCTATATATATCATCATATCGTCCAGCCATAAAACTTTTTCTAATAAAAAAAACTATATGGCCCCAATAAAGCAGAATATGCAATGATAAATATTTAATTGATGAGCTGATAATGTATATAACAATACAAAATATATGGGTATGGTTTTCCTGCTAAATTCAGCATATTGACACAAAATGATAACTGCAAATCCACCTTTCGCTGACTGGAGTCCAGTTGTTTCGATCCATTTGCTCCTCTTTCCATAGCAGTCTGTACAAATATACCTCGGATGTTTTGTCAAATCTAGTTGTAGGCCTACAGTCAATCGCAAAGCTCTTTCCCACTTTATTTGTGTGTGTTGTGTTTGTTTTTCGCGGCATTCACGCTGAACACATAAAGCCGCTCAGTCTTTTTGCCACTCACTGTGAGGAACTGCAGGCACTCCGGCCGACGGTGACGTCACGCGCATTCCCTCTATATGAGACGAGCCTCCTAGTGGTCTAACCCTAACCCTACCCCAGACCTAAACCTACCTGACTCTAAAGGTTGCAATGTGCTTCAGATTTAGACACATGGTCAAAAGCGTCAGTTAGATGACGCCCTAGGATGAGAATGCGTTGATATGCAATAACAAATGCCATTTGGTGTCATTTGGTGACCTTGTTCGACACGTCTTGATAAAGTTTCATTTTTTTAATTATTGCACATTTGAGAGCTTGATATCATCTGTAACATTTCCTTTTGTGTTCAATGGAAGAAAGTCATGCATATTTATTTTATGACAGGATGGCGAGTAAATGATGATATAACCGATTTGGTTTTGGGTGAACTATTCCTTGCAAGTGACTGTCCAGTGTGTGGGTTTGGGATCAAACCTTGAACCTTTGTCCTTAAGCATGCAGGCAATCCCCATAAAGCATGAGTACTGGAGCTGTGTGAGTTAGAGTGTGTGTGTTGCTTTGTGTATGATTGATATAGCTGTCAAATGTAAAGTGCGCATGGCTGTCACTTGACCTAGAGAGCGAGGAGATGAATGCTAAACTCTTCTACTCACCCTTGCCCTGATTTTCTCACTCTTTCTCGGTTAATGTGAGGATGGAGAGTTTTAGGGGGTTGCAAACCCCTTCCCCACACACACACATTCACAGGCCCCCTGGCACTAAGAGAATGATAGATGGTTCGAGGACAGAATGGAACAAAAGGAAAGCAGGATGGATGGAGAGGACAGATAAAGTAGAGGAAAGTAGGTTAGGAAAACAACTTTAAAAGCTACAGTTCTGCTAACACATGAGACTGCTATTAATATAAATACATATTTATGTAATTTAATGTTTTCTTTTAGAAATAGGAATGTAGTATTCTTCACACTGGAACCCCTTACATTGTAATCTCACTTAATTTACTTATGTTAATGAGGGAGGGACACTGAAACATTTAGCTGAGTTTTAGCTTTGAACAGTGTTGTAGTACTCGAGACTCGGACTCGTCTCGGACTCGGTCTCGAGACCATATTTTAATGGTCTTGGTCTTGTCATGGACTCGTGTGCATTTGGACTCGGAATTGACTTGTACTCGAACATTTTTTTTTT